TTGTTATGGGTGAAACCTGAGTTATTTACTGTTTGCTGCTTATCCAAACCGGACATGTAGACCTGTGGCTCACGAGCCGTTTGTGGCTCTTTGCCGGCTCCTGTCCAACTTCATGGGCTACCAGTGCCATTTTTTTTCTTCTTGGTCATCAGTTTTTTACTGCTCAAAATATATATCAGATAAGTCAAAATTCATCTGAATATTTGACAATATTGCCAATAAAGTTGTCAATAAATTTAATTTTAAAAAATGTTGTCATGTGACTAATAGAAAAGTTACACGCATAATCACACATACATAGAACTTTGTTAGCCAAGCTAGCTTGACTGAATCACCAAGGCGTCACAAAGAAGAAGCCATGGAACGCAGAGGACCCAGGTGCAGGAGACTGGAAGGTCTATTGGGGAAGCCAAGTAAACAGAATCCAAATCGCAGGGAAAGAATCGTAGTCCAGGAAGCTGTTCCTAGGAGGTTGGAGGCCAGAGGGGGATCAGTCCTACAGAGAAGCACGAGACTGGAGACTGGAGCACCGGGGCAGACGGATGAGCAGGGGCAGGTCAGGCAGGAGCAGAAAGGGCAGGAATGGGCAGGACGGGAACAGGAACAAAGCGGGAGAGACAGGAGATGGAGTAGAGTGAGTGTTTAGTAAGGCGCGTGGCAACAATACTTCACACTCGTCTTGTGGACGGGTCTGGGATTTATGGTCTGAGCAGGTGGAGAGCTGACTTCTGCTGCGCCTTTAAGGCCCGCCTCCTCGGGGCATGACACATGGCAGTCAGGAAAAAGTAAAGCTAAGAAGAGGAGCACAGGACATTCTTACCTGAATTAAACTGTATTTTTTTGTGGAACGAAACCCTTCTGTTTAGCACGCCAGACTTCACTTTCACATTTTAAAGCTGTGAACCTGGAGTGCCATTTCACCTCACTGCATGCTAACATGGCGCAGGAGTTTCCCAAAAGCCCTAAACTTCGCAATCACAAAGTAGCCATGTTGAAACGTCAGTAGGAGAGACAAACATGTATGAAGCACTCAGAGACTGATCATATCAAGTTGTATGGAACATTGCTTGTGCTGGGAAACCATACAGTAACTGGGAATTTATAAAGACATCCTTCAAAGATATTGCTGCTATCCTCTCTCCTGAAAATGACAACATGAAGTATTGTGTGTCAGACCTGCATGTATCACGGCACACTGTTGCATTGCTTTGGATGAGTCCTGCAACATTCAGGATTAGCCACAATTGACAGTATTTGTACGTTTTGTGTCAGAAGGCTGAACAATTAAGTTGCTTGGCATTGTGCCGTTAAAAGACCGGAAAGAGATACTCATGACTGCAATTTAACAAGAAGTAGTAGTAGGCAATGTAAAAATTAATCACCTAATAATAATTGGGTGGTGCGGTGGTGAGTGCAGCACCTCACAGCAAGAAGGTCCTGGGTTCAATCCTGGGGTCGGACATAGGTCCTTTCTGTGTGGAGCTCATGTGCTCTCCCCATGTCCACGTGGGTTTCCGCTGGGGGCTTTGGTTTCCTCCCATGGTCAAAAAGTGTGCAGGACAGGTTGATAGGTGAGTCTAAATTGGCCCTGTAATTGTGTGTGTGTGTGTGTGTGCCCTGTGGTGTGTTGGTTCCTGCCTGTGCCCCTAGTTCCCAGGATAGGCTCCAGTGACCCCAGTTGGGATTAAGTGGTTACAGTGATGGCTGGATGATAATAATAATAATAATAATACCCAGAGACACTTAAATGATTTGGCTATGCTTGATATGACCAGACATGTCTGGGTATAATATACATTGTGCAGTATATTGGGTAATGTGCAATAACTATATTAAATATATTTTAAGTTTACACCTTGAATTTAACAAGCAAGCCCATTCTTTCTTTTTAACAATGTTAGCATGTTGGGTAGCCAGCTGACCTTAGACCAGGGCTATTCAACTCAGGCCCTCGATTCCAAATCCAGGCCTTGTTTTCAGTTCTTCCAGGTAGTTAGTTTGATAATTACTGATTCTGATTGGTCAGAGGCTTCACACCTGCCTCACAGGTGAAGGAAAGCGGGAAAATCAGCAGGGCTCGGCACCTGCGTGAAGTTGGCCCCCCATATGTTTCAGATTTCAACCAAACTGGTCTCAATCGTATGTGCCACGTTTGTGCCGGATTTTGTTGCTAAAATTTTTGTTTGTGCTGTTTTAGTTTCTGAGATATAAATGTTTGTTTACATGGTGACGTCATCAGCGTGAAGTTGGCCTCCCATTTGCATCTGATTTCCACCAGACCGATCGCAATCGTGTGTGTTGCGTTTGTGCTGGTTTGTGCCGTTAAAACTGTCCTTTGTGTTGCTTTAGTTTCTGAGATATTAATGTTTGTATGGTTGCCCCCCCCTCCCATTTGCGTCTGATTTCGACCAAACCGATCGCAATTGTTTGTGCTCTTAAAACTGTCCTTTGTGCTGCTTTCGTGCTGATATATTGTTTATTTACATAGTCATGTGATTCCCCTGTTAAGTTAGCCCCCTATTTGCCTCCGAACCAGTCTCAATAGTTTGTGCTGTTTTAAAATTGTCTGTACTGTTATACCTCTTAGTTTATGCCTTTACCTGATCGCCTTATAGTGCTCAGGCTGATGTTTCTCGTGTTAACAGAAGGTGGAGCGTTTGATGACTCCGCGACAAAGCTGCACGTACTTAGTCAGCCCTGCCAGCCAGATACCGCATTTTAGGATCATGCTAGATATTTTCACGAATGACCGACTGTTACATACTGCCTCGTTACGTGCAGGCTTGACCCAGGTTATCATCTGTTCTACCAACTTGATCATCTCAGCACAGTGCGATTCCTTGAGATGTGGGAGTGAAAAAGCAAAACGACAGTATGGAAAGTGCCTCTTGCGGTGTGAAAAGTGATTGTGTGCCATTTACAGTGATAAAGCACATCACAGAACTCTAAATTACAGTATGTGCAGATGTACATAGCGCTTTGCTACAAGGTAGTGAACGCCCCAGCACCAAACGCGACCAGTTAATGCTTAATACTGTACAACAATGTATAATAAACTCTTGTCATTTTGCCTGCACTGTGTATTGTGATGTCTTTACCTTCCCATGGACCCTCTTACTTAAGGCGGTTAAATAAAAGTGTCCAATAATGAAGTTTTACTGTCTTTGGAAAAATATAGCGAAAAATATGTATGTCTATGTATGAATACGTATGTATGTATGTGTGTATAGTGAATGCACAGGTATAGACCTCACAAATATTAACGCCCCCGCCCCAATTTCTAAAATGGCATTGCTCACGTGAAAATACAGCGCCCCCTTATTAAATAGCAGCATAAAATGAATACAAAGTGCTACATACGAAACACATATGGGTGTTAGCCGCTGAGAACCTGAATTTATTCAGCACGATCTTGAAATACGGTATCTGGCTGGCGGGGCTGACAGTCTACGTACAGCTTTGTCGCGGAGTACAGTATTAAGCATTAACTTGTAAATAAGTAATATATCAGCACTGAAGCAGCACAAAGGACAGTTTTAACGGCACAAACGATTGCAATCGGTTTGGTCGAAATCAGACGCAAATGGGAGGGGGGGGGCAACCATACAAACATTAATATCTCAGAAACTAAAGCAGCACAAAGGACAGTTTTACCGGCACAAACCAGCACAAACGCAACACACACGATTGCGATCGGTCTGGTGGAAATCAGATGCAAATGGGAGGCCAACTTCACGCTGATGACGTCACCATGTAAACAAACATTTATATCTCAGAAACTAAAACAGCACAAACAAAAATTTTAACGGCACAAACCAGCACAAACGCGGCACATACGATTGAGACCAGTTTGGTTGAAATCTGAAACATATGGGGGGCCAACTTCACGCAGGTGGACTCGGCCCTTGAGGACCGTGAGTTGAATAGCCCTGCCTTAGACTGCCACGCCCACCTGGTAACGGCAACAACCGCAGCTGGTCTCGCTAAGAGATAATTAGTAGGACTCCCTATTTATGCCTCGCACCAGCAGTAGGTCGGTGCGAGGTATTGCTGACATGCCACTACCAAGCAACTTAACTATCTGTTCTTCCCACAGTTGGGCTCCGTCTGTCTGGCCCTCCCCGAGTTACCCGCACCTCTTGCCTGCCCTCCTTCCCCGTGACACTCCTCTTGGATTTCCCTTCTCTGTGTGTCTATGTCCTCAGACTGACTCCCCGACTCTTCGACCCACGGATCTCCCCATCTCAAATACGACTTCTAGACACGTCTCGATTCTGGCGCTTTATACATACGGATTATAGTTACAACCCTGTAACGACTTCTGACCCCTCTCTGTCTCCTCCTAAAATAAACCTGGTTGCTTGAAGTCCTCTGTCCTGGTCCTGTGTTACGGTACATAGACGCTCAGAGGTTTTTTTTTCTCCCTACTTGGGAGTTTTTTGTTTCCTGTCCTCTGATGTCATTTGGCTTGCTTTCTTTCTTTCTCTTTTGTTTTCCTTGCTTCATTTTAATCATTCATTATAAATGACGTTGTGATGTATCAAAACAAGCACTTTGGGGCGATTCTGTTGTGAAAGGCGCTATATAATAATGAACTGCAAGACCTCAATCTGTCAGGGTGATTGAAATGACCTTGAGATGTGATTAACAGCTGTCACTTTATTCTTTGTTTCTCTCAAAAATACCTGTACCAGCTGACGCTGCAAACGTGTCTACTTTTGTTGTGCCATAAATCTGCCGGTATAGCGACTGTGTTTATTTTGGGAAAATGACACATGGTGCTGATTCTGCATCATTACTACACTTTACGGCCCAAGTTGAACAATGTTACGGTCTCCATAAGTAGAGTTATGAAATCAACACGCTCGCAGTGAGTATATTTATACACCTTTATTAACTTTCTGTTTGACCACAAACAATCGTTAATCTTATGTAATCTCCTTAAAGTGATAAGTGATAGATGAACAATGAATACAATGAATAATTAGCTACATGTTTTTCTTTAAAAAAAAGGAGTGAATGTATATATATATATATATACATATATATATATATATATGTGTGTGTGTGTGTGTGTGTGTGTATTTTGCATGCATACATAGTAGGTGTTCCCCAACCAGAAACATTCCGTATACAGTACATATTTCAACTCCTCTGCAGAATAATCACACCATTATCTTTCTTAATACACTCACTATTAGAAGGCGACTTCAACAGGCTTATTTTTCTCATCTTCCTCTATCTAGTAGTACTGGTCAGTAAAGCAGCTCAGGTTTGGTAACACAGTCTATGGTGTCACTGCACTGATCTCCACTGGCACCCAAACCTGCAACATTCTGGTTCCCAAGACTAGTTCTTCACATCTCTTCACCATGTCTGCTGCTAATAATTATTAATGAGTAAACCATAAATTCAGATGAGTGAGCAAGCTGACATGCTATGATTAAGGATACTATAAACTCAGAGTATAAATGAGCAAAACTGATTAAAATCATGCACACGCTACTCAGTAATGCTAACCTAAGCTTCCCTTACATGTCTGTTTCTTCACTTGTACCTCAGTAGTGTTGATCGCACTGCTTTCACTGCCTGCTCATTTTCCTGACATTCCAGCAGCCCTTTATATTCATGGAAGGCACAGTGGACGACTTGCACTATGTTGCTCCTGGACGGTTGCACTGTGATGTTGGTCATGTGACTGGAATCATGACAGTGGTGCATGAACATCAGGATGACAGGTTTGTTTTCTGTGGAAGAGAGAAATCAAGCAGGTTAGAGTGACCGCTGATAGACACTGTTGCTGTCCCCTGTGATTTATCACTCATTGTAAATGGTGCTCAGTCATTGGAGAAGGCAGCGAATGCCCCAGCTGTGCTTCCCAGGATAGACTCTAGTCTCACCACTGCCCCTTATGGATGTCACAAAGGTAAACACACTTTTAAGAACAGAAATTCAGAACACATATTCAGACTCCATCTAACCGGTCTGCTAGTAAGAAACTTGCTAAAAAAAACAAATGTTGATATTCAGCTTGAAAACTGTTATACCACGGCATTCTCAAATCTGAAGGATGTGCATTAATTTTCTACAACCACACAGCTAGTCCCAGCCAGGCAAACTACAGTAGCAAATTTATGGCGCATTATAATTTTTAATTCTAATGTTACTTAAAATTTCAGAAATAAAACACAATTTGAAAATAATGGAAACTATAAAAACTAAGCAACTGCTACAGATCACTTAGACAACATCCATGCTTCAGGCTGAGGACCAAGACTTCAGTGACTAAATGGTCAGTAGTAATGATTTACTGATGTAATGCACTTGTAGTCTAGACATACGTCACACTCCTGCATATCCTGCCTAAATGGTATGGTCTACATGTCCGGTTTGGATAAGTAAATAAAACAGTAAATAACTCAGGTTTCACCCATCACGAAGCTGAATACCAAGGGCTACGTAAACCGAACTTAATAATACAATGGCTGAATATACACTCAGTGAGCACTTTATTAAGAACACTATACTGACACTGGGCTGAGCATCCCTTTGCTCTCATAACAGCCTCAGTTCTACATGGCATGGACTCCACAAGATGTTGGAAACATTCCTTTGAGATTCTGGCCCATGCTGACATGATTGCATCATGCAATTTCTGCAGATTTGTCAGCTGCACATTCATGCTGCGAATCTCCTGTTGGACCAAATCCCAAAGGTGCTTTATTGTTTTCAGATCCAGTGACTGGGAAGGTTACTGAACTCATTATGTTCATGAAACCAGTTATAGACGACTTCTGCTTTGTGACATGGTGCATTATTATACTGGAAGTAGCCATTAGAAGATGGGTAAATTGCAGGCATGAAGGGATGCAACTGATCAGCAACAGTACACACATAGACTGTGGCACTCAAGCAATGATCAGCTGGTATTAAGATTAATGGACCCAAACTGTTGCCATGAGGCAGGTTGGGTCCATAGATTCACGCTGTTGGTGTCAGGGGCAGTCCCTGTGGTCCCCAGGCGTTGCTGGTCATCCCGTCCTTCATGTTAATCTTTGTGTTTCCCCTGTTCTCATGTCAGCTTCATAGCTCAACACATTGAGCATCCAATTGTCTGTGAACCCTTCTGTCCTGTGTTTGAATCCCACCTCCTCTGTTTTTGTATTTTGCTCCCTAGTGTTTCATTTGAGTTTCTCTAGCTCTGTCTGATTATGTAGTCGGTTTTGGTTTTGTTCCTTGTGCCCCTGCTTGTGTCTTTATCTGTTTATAATTCATTAGTGTTGGTTTATGTTTCCCTGTTTCCTTGGTTAGTTCTTAGTTTCCCTGTTTTGTTCCTTTGAGTTTATTAGTTTCACCTGTGCCCTGTTGTCCTGGTCTGTTAATTAGTCTCACCTGTCCTGTGTTAGCCTTATTACCCAGTTTGGTTTCTGTATTTAAGTCCCTGCTTCTGTTCTGTTCCCTGTTGTTGCTGCTAGATGTTAGATCTGGAAGGTTGCAGTGCAGTGCAGTGCAGTGCAGTGCAGTGCCTATTTGCCTGCTGATTCCCCTTTGTACATTTAGTCTTTATTTTTCCCCTTTAGTTTTTGACCCCTCGTGGTTTTTGTTTTTATGTTCATAGTGTTTTCTGTTTTGCTTAAACCCTGTTTTTTTTGTTCTTTGAGCTGCCAGTGGGTCGTCCACTTTTGTGCCTGCACCATGCCATGTTCCTGCGCCCGTGCCCGGATCCCTGACAGTTGGTGCCAAATTCTGACCTTAAAATCTGCATAGCTCAGCAAAAATTCAGATTCATCAGACCAGGCTACATTTCTCCGGTCTTCAGTTGTCCAGTTTTTGTGAGTCTGTGCCCACTGCAGCCTCAGCTTCTCCTTTTTGGCTCGAAGGAGTGGAAACTGACATGGTTTTCTGCCGTTGTAGCCCATCTGCCTGAACATTTGATGTCTTGCATTCTGAGATGCTCTTCTGCTCACTACAAAGAGTTTTTGTAGCCTGTCAGCTTGAACCAGTCCGGCCATTATCCTGTGACCTCTCTCAACAAGGAATTTCCATCACTGGATGGCTTTTTTTTTTTTTTTCCCCCGCTATTCTAGAGTAAACTCTAGACTGTTATGCATCTGCTTATTAGCAATGGACAGTATTCAAATTAATGATGGTGACCAGGGTTGTATCCAGGCAAAATGTTCAGTAGTTCTATTAATACATGTGTTTTTGGTGTTGTAAATGTAAAAATACTGTCTTCAGTTACAAACTGTATAAACTAAGTGTGTGTTAACTGTGGTGTTAGCAAGTGAATGCTACAACACGTCGTGCATTATATATTTTTATACTCACTTCATGCCTCTGCAGCTGTGTGTTTAAAAACATGTACAGTATAACGCATGCCTTGTCGCACACTAACCCTTACTAAAATACCATATCTGCAGTGCTGTAGAAGCACTTCATTACGGAACAGCACCTAACCGTATCAGGTTAGTCACTATGTAAAGAAATATAAGTACATAGGCCTGTTCATTTCATACATAAACCATGAGCAGTTAGGTTCATATTTAAGCTAAATTTCACATATTTGTCTGGGTCAATTATATAGTTGTAATTTGTCAGTCTATTTTAAGTTTTCATTGCTTATTTTTATTTGCTGCATTTCCTGCCAGCCAAAATCAAATGATCTGTGGGGGAAACCAAAAGTTTGTAAATGTCAGCCTTGAGACTCTAGTTTTCATTGGGAAAACTCGGCATTGTTGATTTGAATTTACTTACACAGAACAACTTCTGAAAGGTAGCGTTTGTTAAATAAAATCAGAACTGCCTCTGTGAGGAGATGAACTACATAATACCTGCTAGCTGTGTCTTTGTTGGGTTTTCAGGGCAAAGGTGATAAACAGCAGAGACTGAATCCTGTCTCACCTGTAACTCTGGCCATTGCTGCCTCCATGTCTGTCCTAATCTGAGAAACAACAGGACAGAAGACCAGGATGACGCTGCTGCTCTCTGCACTGCAGAGCTCTATCTGCAGCTTCAGCTTTTGTATGAAGGTTTCATGGGCCTGGGAAGTTTCTCCAGCAACCAGCACGTGGACTTTTACTGGGGAAAAGAAACAAAAATTTTAAATGACTTACAATTGTTGTGAGCAGGAAGTATACTGTACATGCAAACCTTTGACAGGTAGCAAACTTCAGAAGCATCAGACAACATACATGAAGATGCATAATTGACCTTCTTAGGGTTTGTGGGGACTCCAGATGAAGGACACACTGAATTTTCTGTAAAATATTTGCCATCTTCAGTAAGTTGTAGCAAAGAGTCAGAGGCCAGTGTCTGTATGCATGTTGATCTCACTCAGGCCCCAAGACACCCTTTTTTCAGTACTATGTTCTATATCATTGTCCAATTGCACATCTCACATCAGTGACTACCTCATTCTCATATCCCACTACTTATTTATTATTATGTCTCCACTGCTGAAGGTCGTAACCCCTATGCACCCACCCCCAGGCACCATGACACAAGAATTTCACCGAGTTCCCCAAATACATGTGACGATAAAACTAATAATATATTTGGATCAGTGATTTTGAGTCTTTTGCTGAGAAGCATGTAATATGTTCCAGAGCACAATATGAGCACGAGATCAGTCAGACCCCAAGACACCCTTTACCTCCAGAGGAGCCACCGGAATCTTCCATTTCCGTTACATCCTTGCATTGATGAGATTTACTCCTCTCTCCCACTGGTTCAGTGCTGGACTGTGGGACCTCAGCATGTAAATTAACATACCTGCAGAGTGTATGTAAT